CAATAGTTCTTGACAACAAAGCCTTCCCAGTTTCACGCTATCTAACAAAATATACTCCACATCCTTTTCTATTCAATATATGTATGATACTTACTTATATATAAACCTAAAGCCTCCATGTCTACTGAGAGAAAATGGTGATACTATAGTAACAAATCCAACCCAACCACTCCTCAACCTCTTCACACAGAAAATAAAGGCTGGAAGCTGACCAGTGGTGGCTCATGCCTGTAATTGCAGCAGCTTGGGAGGCCGAGGCAGGCAGATCACCTGAGTTCATGAGTTCAAGACAAGCCTGGCCAACATGGTGAAACCCTTCTCTACTAAAAATGTAAAAATTAGCTGGGCGTGGTGGGGCACACCTGTAATCCCAGCTACTTCGGAAGCTGAGACAGGAGAATTGCTTGAACCTGGGAGGCAGAGGTTGCAGTGACCTGTGATTGTACCACTGTACTCCAACCTGGACAAAATAGCAAGATTCCGTCTCAAAAAAGGGAAGGGGAGAGGGGAGAGGGGAGAATAAAGGCTGGAGACTTAGAACTTTCTCAAGTTTCCATCCCTTGCCCAGAGCAAATCCCTCTGACCCCAGGGCTTTGTTTCCCTCTTACTGGTCCTTCAGTGAAATTAATTCAATAAATAGACATTGAGCTTTAATCCAGATATGTACAAGATATTGGGGATTTGTTCAGCAACACTCATAGTCTCTGCTCCATCAGTTCTCTCCCCCTTCTGGCCTTCAGCACCTCTCCAGGTTTGTTCACTAGAGCTGCCATAAGAAAACATTACAGACTACTGGCTGAAAGAATAGCAATTTATTTTCACAGTTCTGGAGGCTGGAAGTTCAAGATGAAAGTATTTGTAGGTTTGGTTTCCTCTGAGGCCTTTCTGGCTGCTGGTGTCTCTTCCTATTCCTACAAGAACTAGGGTGTGACCATAAAGCCCTCATTTTAAATCACCTCTTTAAAGACCTTCTCTCCAAATATGGTCACATTCTGAGGCACTGAGGGTTAGAACATCAACATATGAATTTGGAGGGAACACGGTTCAGCCAAGAACACACTCTGCTTCTCCTAGGTTTCTCACTTGCTCTACTACCTCAGTAAATAACATCCTCAAATCTTTTTCATATCTAAGTGAAGCAGGAGCAGTGAGAAGGAAACCTCTCGAACACTGAACTGTTCCTGGAAGTGGCTTTTTATTCGGCTGGGAGCTGCAGAGAGCTACAGTCTCATTCACCAAGCTCCCCCATAAGCAGCTTCTTTCCCCTTTTATAGGCTTACAACGCTAAAGGGGAAAGTGAGGTGAAACTAAGTCATTGTCCACTGGCTGGATGTCTGATCTTACAATCTTTTGGCTTAACTGATTTGCTGGTTCATACGCAGCATGAGCGGGAGCAGGCGGGGGAGGGGGCTTACAGAGACAAGACAAAGGCGGCCAATTATTAGTTGGCAGAGGTGTTGCGAAGAGGGAGCCTGGGTTGTGCAGATGTGAAGGTGTGACCCAGTGCCAGGCTCTGGCCGGTAGGGATAACATTCATTTGCAACTCTTTCAAGGCTTACAGAGAGCAGAGACGCTGGGAACTAAAAAGGGAGCCATCTTCCCAGCTCTGTGGTATTTTATTTCCTTTTTTTACCCTCCTTCCCATCCAGAGGAGGGGAAGAGGAGGAGGCTGGGAAGTGAGAGGAGGGGAGGGTATCTCCTTCTCAAAAGTACCAACAACCCACTACGAGGCCAGATCTTCCCCGTGTTCTATCTAGCTGCTTCCCATGACTGCCAAGATGTGAAAATGCCCTAAACTAGGAGTCTCAAAATCAAATATAGAGGAGCAAGGAGAATCATAAGTAGACTGGGTAGAGAACAAGGGAGTACCAGTGCCTTCTAAAGGCAGACTACCCATTGTCAGCTAGCTTCAGTCAGTTGTGAAAATAGAGCCCAGGATACCCATTCTGTTTTGTAAGAGAACCCGGAAACATACTTGTATGTAATTTCCCAAGTTTTATATGCTGATAACAAAAACAGAAACTCCCCCCAAAAGCTGTGCGTGGGCCAAATAAAATAGGTTGATAATCTATTTTCCCCCTATTTTTTCCTATAATCTCTTAAATTCACTTTCCCCATTTCCTGACCTGTCATTCATCCTCACATTTCTGAAAACAGGCTTCTTTGTGCCAATTCCTTTTCCTAGACTCTACTTGAACAGCTATTGATGAAGTCCCCATATCGTACCTGCCATCCTTCCCATCTCAAATTTGAACTCCCTGAAAGCAGATATTATGTCTCTATGTTTCCAGTGCTGAGCACTGTGCCCAGCACAGAATGTGGACTCAATAAATGATTACTGAATAAATGGGCTTATCTCTTTCTTTAGAACAACCCAATGTGGTGGGGGAATGATAAATCAAAGAATCCTACCTTCAGTAATTTTGTAAAAACTCACCACTTAATTTATGTATTTGCTTCATTGGTTTAGCAAGATTCTGGACCATCATGTCATATATATATTCTTACATAGCACAACAGCTTAAAATTCCCACATCTCTTTCAAATGGCAAAATTTAGCTTCTAAAGAGAGAAATGCTGATATCATTCTCTGATTTGCCTAAAACGTCCATTTATGTGCATGCTTAACATTTTAGAACATAGTCAATCATCAGGAGGCAAGAAAAAAATTCCATGAATTGTCAAAATAGGTGATTAACATTCATTCATTAATTTTACTCATAAGTAAATCCTTCAGGCCTTGACTCAGAATCTCCTGGCTTTTAATTTTTTAACTATTCTAACATGACTTCATTTGGAGGGGAACTACATCAGGCCAGAACTATCTTTTAAATCTGTTAGCCCAAGAGCCAGACTTAATTCCTGAGATATCAGTTTGCTACTCTGTGGAGGGTATCTTTTGAACCCACTCTGAACTACACTGAATTTAGCCTCTTCTCATCTATCTCTTTATTTATGAATGGTCAAAATTACTCCAGAAGGGTGAGGTCTACAAAGATGACAATTAAAGATGTACTTTAAAGAAGGCAGTGATTAAAATAATGAAATTTAGAGGTAAGAAGACAGAAACCTAGGGTGGTCCTTAACGGAGAGTTCAGCAACCACAAATTCACTCAAGAAAATACTTGAGTATCTTCTCTCTCTAACAATGTTATTTTCTTGACCAGGAAGCTTCCAGTGTTCCAATGAAGTATACCATACCCTCCTGAGTCTTTTCCCATGACATATTCAATACAATAATGCCCAGCCCAGCCACATTCCTCCACAGGAAAAGGAGAATATGAGGGATAGTGTTCACCTTCATACATCTCTGCTTTTGTTCAACCTTGGCAATAACAACAATTAGACAGGACTAGATTAAAACTTCCCAGTTCTCCTGCCTCAGCCTCCCAAAGTGCTGGGGAGGCTGAGGCAGGAGAATGGCTTGAACCCAGGAGGCAGAGATTATGGTGAGCCAAGATCACACCATTGTACTCCAGCCTGGGTTACAAGAGCGAAACTCCATCTCAAAAAAAAAAAAAAAAAAAAAAAAAAGAAAGAAAGAAAAAAGAAAACTTCCCAGTTCCACCACAGTGTTAAGGCAAGTTACTAAACTTTTCTAAATCTTCTTTTCCTCATCTGTAAAGTGAGGATCATAGTATTAAATTAAGACCTATAAAAGGTTGAAAAAATACTAAATTCAGTGGTATGATTATCCATATGCTATCTTCAGTTTCCGCATCTTAGCTAAGGTTTTCCTATCAGACTGAAAAACTGCCTTCACTTACACCCAATGTTGCATATATGGGGAGGATCAGGCTTTCTACAGAAAATCTTGAATAAAATAACTCCACTATTTTAGGACAATTTCAATAAAAAGTGAAACTACTAGGGAAAAAAGAGTAATCCTTACATGTATTTTATTTAAAAAAAAAAAAAAAAAAAAAAAAAAGATACAATTTAAGCCTAAAATAAAATTTTAAAACAGAAGAACAAATTAGTCCAGGTGATATATAACTAAACATCAAAATGGGGAAGGAGGAAAGGGAAACTTACATTGAAATCTACTTCTACTGTAAACCAACATGAACATTTCTTATAAGAACATAAGAGGAGTTCTGAGCTATCTCTTAAGTAAAAGCAAGATGAATCCCATGGGTAAATAAGCTTGCTAATAAAGAGGTATTTACACTCAATGAATCTCACAGAGATATAAGAAATAGAGTTAGGGTCATATGGAACATTCTAGTGGTACCAAAAGCCACAAAAAAATGAGAGAAAAATTTTGTGCAGAACTTGTATGCTTGAAAGAAAACTTACAATATTATTCTTCTCTTGCTACAAATGCAAAACAAGCAAAATCAATAACCAATTCTATTTCTAGATTTTTATCTACTGTACTTCATAAAGGCAATTTGGGGACTGTCTAAACAAAACTCTTAAGTCAGCATCTTTTCAGACAAGTAAATTTGTCATTCTAACCAATAACTAACTAGTCACACTGTGTCTAAGAGAGCACTTTACATTGAATGCTTTAATAAAACTCTGAAAAGGTTGGGAAAACTTTAAAACCTTAGCCACTTTAGAGTAATTATATGAAATTTTAATATAGTTTTAGAAACTTTATATCAGCTCAGCTGATTTAACAACTACAAAAAGATAAATTCACAGTAAAATAATTCATATTAATTATTGAATTCACTTTTCAGAAGCAGTGATTCACTAAAAGTGCTGGCTGACTCAGAAGCTTTCTGAAGGAACACAGTTGAGTTTCATAAATATTTCATTAGTGGGCATTAGCAGGGAATGCAATTCTATGCCAAACATACAATGTAGATTTCAGGATTTCAGATTATCTAAAATGAACATCATAATGAGTAGTAACTTCTATAAAGATACTGGATATTGGATATAAAATTAAATATATGTTGACATACCTATTCTCTATGAATAGGCTGTAGCACACATAAAACATCAGAAAATCTGAATTCCTGTAAGTCATTCATATGTTTACTCCCATCTTTTAAATTCATCTTTATCACCATGAGAACCTCATTACTTATTATCCGGATACATGTTTCTCTCTCTTTTTTTTTTTTTTTTTTTAAACAACTGGTAATCGATTCATTAAAGTAACTGACTCAGGCATCTGCAGCGGTAACTTCCACCCCAACTCCTGGCTCAGTACTGAAGGAAGCCATCTGCTGAACAGTCTCAGAAGGGCTGCGGATGCTCATCCGGAAACGATCCCATGTTTTAGAGCCTTCACCACAAGGTGCTTTTCTTGTAGCGATTCTCAAAGTCTTCGTCGGCATTCGAGCCGGTCCTTTCACTTTCAGATTCTTTTCCTTTGCTCCTCTGATCAAGTCAGCACACACCTTCTCCAGCGACTTCACGCTGCGGCTGGTTAGAGTGATTCGAATCCGGTGAATCGCCACCTGCGGCTCCACGCGTGTTTTTCCGGTATCCTTAAAAGCCATGGCTGCTGCGCGGCTTCCTGACCGACTTGTTCCTCGGCAAGAGCGAACAGCGGTGAGTCCGCAGCGGGAGCCTGCGGACTACAGATCCGCAACGGCTACGACCGCGGCTTCCTCAAAGAGCACATGTTTCTCTTTTATTTACACTGCATATTCTTCCATGTTTTTATCATTATCAGTGACCCATGCTAGTAGGTTAATCTTAGTTCACAAGCCTTAAGATTTCTTAGTAGTTTCCAAGACGGAACTACTAAGGATGTGTCTTATTTCCATCTAAATACAGCATAAGGAGTGAAAAAGGTCAACGAACTGGGAGTTACTAAGTTAAGGGGATGTGGAAAACAAATCATAACATATAAGGAATACAGGCCAGGGGAAAGGGCCATTGTGGTAATATCTATCAATGACACTTAGAAACAGTAAAAGACAAAAGGACATACAAAGAGAGGTTGCAGAATATAACTAAAACAGAAAAGAAAAAAGCTCTGAAGTCAACAAAATTGTAACAACGATGGGATATGAATCATGTTTTTTCTATTTTAAGTGGAAGGAAGAAAAATAAATCACATGTGCCTGGTAGGGGAGAATTTGCTTAAGACATTTTATAATTGTTCTTGGGGTAGACAAGTACTTTTTCACTATATCTATTATTCAATGTCAAGTTTTTCCAAGAATCACATTAGTAAGAGATAGGGGGGGTTATTGTTTTGCATTAATTGGTCTAGTTAACCAAGATGTGCAAACTGCCAGAGCAGAAGTAAATCTGCATTCTCAAAATGTTTAAAAAATGAAGAGTGACAGGGAAAAATCTGCCTCATTCTAGCAGAGTTACATCTGAAGAGAGAGTTGGGAAAACGGGTAAGATTTGAAATTTGTGTCTATATGATATAAGATAATTTTAGGCCGGGCGCAGTGGCTCAAGCCTGTAATCCCAGCACTTTGGGAGGCCGAGGCGGGTGGATCACGAGGTCCAGAGATCAAGACCATCCTGGTCAACATGGTGAAACCCCGTCTCTACTAAAAATACAAAAAATTAGCTGGCATGGTGGCGCGTGCCTGTAATCCCAGCTACTCAGGAGGCTGAGGCAGGAGAATTGCCTGAACCCAGGAGGCGGAGGTTGCGGTGAGCCGAGATCGCGCCATTGCACTCCAGCCTGGGTAACAAGAGCGAAACTCCGTCTCAAAAAAAAAAAAGATAATTTTAGAATGAAGTTACTATCTCATAGGCTTACTGAAAGCACAGCTAGATTCTGCAACAGAGCAACTGCAAGAGCCACCATAATGCAAGCAAATCAAACCAGGAGAGTTTGAAAGGCCCAGTCACTGTGAACGAGACTGAGGCTATTTCACTCACTTCACATGGTGAAGTACGTTACTAGGAAGCTAATATGACTGTACAATGTACCTAGACACTATTAAGCTGAAATGAATCTAAACATGTGGATAGTTCCCTCCTCACTAACACTTCACTGATAACAGAGTTAAATATTCCATATAGTTCCTTTCTAAGGGATTACTATGGTTCGCCAGTACTCAAAATCATTTATGCCTTTCAGCTTATTCAAAAGGTTCAGTAATAACTCCTCAAATATTCATTGCTTGTCATATTCTAATAGTGAACTCTGGGATGCAAATATGCAGCCCCTATTAGGGCTAATGGAAGTTACATATTTGTACCAAGGGAAGAACATACATCTAGAAACCTGTTCTCTGCTGCTCATAGGCAATCATGTTACATTTCCTCTCATGGGCAATATAAAAATCTATTACTATTTATACAGAACCATTCAGGTGTTACAGGCGCTTCCATAACATCCAAGAAGGCATTAGCCAAAATCAACTAAAGTAGTTTTTTGGCTCATCATCACTCAAGCTGAATTAATAACATTAAACAGCATGTGGGATGAGGGAAAACCAAGTGTAAAGCAACATGAAAATCCCTTTCCACTGAAGCATAATTCATTTTGATCTGTACTACTGGATTCAGCTAAAGGTCAAACCATATTTGATGGTTTAGATTCAGAAACATATTATTTCACTGTTAAGCATAGTCTGAAATGAGGGCAACTAATTTTAAAATGGAAGCAATTCTGAAAATACAAATGTAATAAAATTGCCTACAGTATAGAATATATAAATTAAGTCTTACTATTGTTTACTGCCAACATTTTAAGCCTCCCTACTCATATCAGTAATGCCTTCAGTGCAACTTAATTCTCTTCATATGGTGTCATACGCATTCAACGAACATCATTCCAGTGAGGGGCCAAGAACGAGGCAAGAAATGGCTATCATGATCAATTACAGACCGTAATAACTTTTGAACAGTTTTAAATGTATAGGCCATCTAAAAGTCATTTAGTTTGATAGATGCATGGTTAATGAATTACTCAAACTAATAAGAACCATTAATTATTAATCTGCACTACAATATGGCATAAGGCCAAGATCTTAAACGTGGTCTGCATTATGACCAAAACTGGGATTCAGAGCATATATAATAAAAGGAGGTGGGGAGAGTTATCAATTACAGGACTGTATAAGCAAAAGTCACTTATTAATTTATGTAAATACTTTATAAGCATACAAGGTTTTATTAAAGAATTAGTCAGATTCATAATTAACAGACCACTGAAACATTATCAGCTTTGGGGTTTAAAAAAAAGTAACTGGTTGATTTAGATGTTTACTTGTTCGTGCATTTTTGTTTTCAAGGAAAGGCAGTTTGAAATTTCAATCTTAGGGGCAGAATACTTAGACCAAGACTTGGGTACTTTCGTATACTTCCATTTCTTGCTCTTGCTTGAGTCCCAAGCAGTGATGGGGTACTACCCTTCCCCACTAAGGCATAATCACAGTCCAGTTTCTAGAAAGAACACAACCTAGTCTAACGCTAGTGAACGAAAAGCAAGTCGAAGATGGAGACATGGAAGAACCGACCTGGGAGAGGAACAGACTGAACAGGTAAAACCATAGTCAGCAGTTTCCCGATTCACAAATTAAAACTGACAAATGACATCCTACCTGGTAACACTGTTAAAATCGTCACTAACTCTTCAGCTTCAGTATTTCTCAAGAATGCCTCTTCTACTGCCAATATCAGAATCATATAGAGAGGTTGTTTAAAATGCATATTACTAAGTTACTTTCCTCACCTCTAGTAATACGACATATTCCAGAGGTCTGGAAATAGATAACAGACCTCACCAAGAGTGGGGCTGAGACACCTTGTAACAATCTGCCCAGAATATTCCTGTGTGCCCTAAAGTTTGAGAGTCACAATCCTAAGAGGATGCTCTTCATTATACCACACTGCAGCAATGGTTCCTACCATCACACCCACAGTGCACATGGCAGCAATGCAAGAGATGCCAAACTCTTAAGAAGAACAGGATGCCTTGAATATTCACTAAATATGTGAGGATATATGCATGACTGGATGGATACATGCATGAGAGAGAAAACTAATAGTACTTCTGATATAAAACAGGAAATCTGATTCCTTTTGAATTGGCTCTGTATCCCTTAGGGAGGCTGAGGTGGGTAGTTCACCTGAAGTCAGGAGTTCAAGACCAGCCTGGCCAACATGGTGAAACCTTGTCTCTATCAAAAATGCAAAAATAGTTGGACATGGTGGCAGGCACTTGTAATCCCAGCTACTCAGGAGGCTGAGACAGGAGAATCTCTTGAACCAGGGAGGCAGAGGTTGCAGTGAGCCTAGATCATGCCACTGCACTCCAGTTGGGTGACAAGAGCAAAACTCCATCTCAAAAAAAAAAAAAGAATTAGCTCTACAAATCCATTTACAGTTCTCTAAAAAATCCCCCAAGTGCTCCAAATTTCTCACAGTCTATACAGTTGACCATATGATCTTAACTTCTCAGGTGCTGATCACAGAAAATTGAGAGGAAAGAGGAAATGCAGGGTTTCGAATCTGATTTTGCAGAAACGCCAGTGCTGCGCTGCTTTCCACGCTGCATGGTGTGCCGGCAGACACTACCGCTGTCCCAGGCACATCTGCTGTGAAAGCCGTTGCTTAGCAACAGAAATCAATGCGGTATTTCCTCTTCACCATTTTTCTGAAGATTGAGACACGGCTCCAAGATAGTATTTTCAGACACCTTCTGTTTCACTGACTAAACATGTTTGTTAATTTTTCTACTATGAAAAAAACAAATCATGAACCAAACTGGTCTAAGAATCCAGGAAAGAAGAGTGAGGGAAGGTCAGTACACCACCAGTGCTTTGAGACTTATTTGATGAAGAAAAATTCTTTGACAGCTCGTTGACTTTATTTGCTATACCCTTTCATTCTGCCATTTTAGAACTGATTTCTGCTACCTCATGGGAGATGAAAGTCATTAGCATGAATTATCATTCTAAATGCAGATCTACAAGGTACTGCCATAAAACACAAAAAGCAAACGATTTTCAGAGATTGGTTGAATACACATCTTACACCTCTGTTACAGCTCTTGTCTTGGTCATATTCATATTAACCAATAACATTTTTTAACATCTCTCCACTGATACCACAATACATAATTCTTTCAGATGGGCAATGTTCCTGCTAAATTAACTGGTACCTGTGATGAAAGCATACAGACAATACCAATATTGACTTTAGGAAAAAGGTAGAAAAACTACACAAGAAGAAGTCAAATAAAAGGGGGAAGAGGTAATCATTCTTACCAATATGCCCTACCAATGAATAGAATCTTCATACAAAACAAAACATGAGACTTAGGAACTTTATGTGACACTTCCCCATAAAGAAACTTGATACTTGCTTAAAGTATACATGTGCAGATAAGTTATTAAGAGGTGGACTCCAACAAGGTGGATATTGTGTGATATTTATTTTTCATGTTTATTGAACACCTACTGTCTAAAAATTCTATGAGTAACATAAAGATGAGGAAAACATGGTCCCTATACAATCTTAAGGTAAAAAAAAAAGTCACATCAATAAATATAGAATAGATATTAACCTCAGATAATCACTCAAGTATTTAGTAACAACAAATGTCCCACTTAAGGTGAATTATATCTACAACAGACAAAATGAGTAAATCAGAGTCAAAAGCTTTTTGTATAACAATACTGGTAAGGATGCAGTGACATAAAAATGTCATCATATGCAC